ATGCTATGTTTTCTGTATCCTTTTCTTTTCAATTCTACTTATTTATTGTTCAAGAACTTACCTACTTTCTCATTTAAATGCTATGTTTTCTGTATCCTTGTCTTTTCAATTCTACTTATTTATTGTTCAAGAACTTACCTACTTTCTCACCTAAATGCTATGTTTTCTGTATCCTTTTTTTTTCAATTCTACTTATTTATTGTTCAAGAACTTACCTACTTTCTCACCTAAATGCTATGTTTTCTGTATCCTTTTCTTTTCAATTCTACTTATTTATTGTTCAAGAACTTACCTACTTTCTCACCTAAATGCTATGTTTTCTGTATCCTTTTCTTTTCAATTCTACTTATTTATTGTTCAAGAACTTACCTACTTTCTCACCTAAATGCTATGTTTTCTGTATCCTTTTCTTTTCAATTCTACTTATTTATTGTTCAAGAACTTACCTACTTTCTCACCTAAATGCTATGTTTTCTGTATCCTATTCTTTTCAATTCTACTTATTTATTGTTCAAGAACTTACCTACTTTCTCACCTAAATGCTATGTTTTCTGTATCCTTTTCTTTTCAATTCTACTTATTTATTGTTCAAGAACTTACCTACTTTCTCACCTAAATGCTATGTTTTCTGTATCCTTTTCTTTTCAATTCTACTTATTTATTGTTCAAGAACTTACCTACTTTCTCACCTAAATGCTATGTTTTCTGTATCCTTGTCTTTTCAATTCTACTTATTTATTGTTCAAAAACTTACCTACTTTCTCACCTAAATGCTATGTTTTCTGTATCCTTGTCTTTTCAATTCTACTTATTTATTGTTCAAAAACTTACCTACTTTCTCACCTAAATGCTATGTTTTCTGTATCCTTGTCTTTTCAATTCTACTTATTTATTGTTCAAGAACTTACCTACTTTCTCATTTAAATGCTATGTTTTCTGTATCCTTTTCTTTTCAATTCTACTTATTTATTGTTCAAGAACTTACCTACTTTCTCACCTAAATGCTATGTTTTCTGTATCCTTTTCTTTTCAATTCTACTTATTTATTGTTCAAGAACTTACCTACTTTCTCACCTAAATGCTATGTTTTCTGTATCCTATTCTTTTCAATTCTACTTATTTATTGTTCAAGAACTTACCTACTTTCTCACCTAAATGCTATGTTTTCTGTATCCTTTTCTTTTCAATTCTACTTATTTATTGTTCAAGAACTTACCTACTTTCTCACCTAAATGCTATGTTTTCTGTATCCTTTTCTTTTCAATTCTACTTATTTATTGTTCAAGAACTTACCTACTTTCTCACCTAAATGCTATGTTTTCTGTATCCTTGTCTTTTCAATTCTACTTATTTATTGTTCAAAAACTTACCTACTTTCTCACCTAAATGCTATGTTTTCTGTATCCTTGTCTTTTCAATTCTACTTATTTATTGTTCAAAAACTTACCTACTTTCTCACCTAAATGCTATGTTTTCTGTATCCTTGTCTTTTCAATTCTACTTATTTATTGTTCAAGAACTTACCTACTTTCTCACCTAAATGCTATGTTTTCTGTATCCTTTTCTTTTCAATTCTACTTATTTATTGTTCAAGAACTTACCTACTTTCTCACCTAAATGCTATGTTTTCTGTATCCTTTTTTTTCAATTCTACTTATTTATTGTTCAAGAACTTACCTACTTTCTCACCTAAATGCTATGTTTTCTGTATCCTTTTCTTTTCAATTCTACTTATTTATTGTTCAAGAACTTACCTACTTTCTCACCTAAATGCTATGTTTTCTGTATCCTTTTCTTTTCAATTCTACTTATTTATTGTTCAAGAACTTACCTACTTTCTCACCTAAATGCTATGTTTTCTGTATCCTTTTCTTTTCAATTCTACTTATTTATTGTTCAAGAACTTACCTACTTTCTCACCTAAATGCTATGTTTTCTGTATCCTTTTCTTTTCAATTCTACTTATTTATTGTTCAAGAACTTACCTACTTTCTCACCTAATTACTATGTTTTCTGTATCCTTTTCTTTTCAATTCTACTTATTTATTGTTCAAAAACTTACCTACTTTCTCACCTAAATGCTATGTTTTCTGTATACTTGTCTTTTCAATTCTACTTATTTATTGTTCAAGAACTTACCTACTTTTTCACCTAAATGCTATGTTTTCTGTATCCTTTTCTTTTCAATTCTACTTATTTATTGTTCAAGAACTTACCTACTTTCTCACCTAAATGCTATGTTTTCTGTATCCTTTTCTTTTCAATTCTACTTATTTATTGTTCAAGAACTTACCTACTTTCTCACCTAAATGCTATGTTTTCTGTATACTTGTCTTTTCAATTCTACTTATTTATTGTTCAAGAACTTACCTACTTTTTCACCTAAATGCTATGTTTTCTGTATCCTTTTCTTTTCAATTCTACTTATTTATTGTTCATGAACTTACCTACTTTCTCACCTAAATGCTATGTTTTCTGTATCCTTTTCTTTTCAATTCTACTTATTTATTGTTCAAGAACTTACCTACTTTCTCACCTAAATGCTATGTTTTCTGTATCCTTTTTTTTCAATTCTACTTATTTATTGTTCAAGAACTTACCTACTTTCTCACCTAAATGCTATGTTTTCTGTATCCTTTTCTTTTCAATTCTACTTATTTATTGTTCAAGAACTTACCTACTTTCTCACCTAAATGCTATGTTTTCTGTATCCTTTTCTTTTCAATTCTACTTATTTATTGTTCAAGAACTTACCTACTTTCTCACCTAAATGCTATGTTTTCTGTATCCTTTTCTTTTCAATTCTAATTATTTATTGTTCAAGAACTTACCTACTTTCTCACCTAAATGCTATGTTTTCTGTATCCTTTTCTTTTCAATTCTACTTATTTATTGTTCAAAAACTTACCTACTTTCTCACCTAAATGCTATGTTTTCTGTATACTTGTCTTTTCAATTCTACTTATTTATTGTTCAAGAACTTACCTACTTTTTCACCTAAATGCTATGTTTTCTGTATCCTTTTCTTTTCAATTCTACTTATTTATTGTTCAAGAACTTACCTACTTTCTCACCTAAATGCTATGTTTTCTGTATCCTTGTCTTTTCAATTCTACTTATTTTTTGTTCAAGAACTTACCTACTTTCTCACCTAAATGCTATGTTTTCTGTATCCTTGTCTTTTCAATTCTACTTATTTATTGTTCAAGAACTTACCTACTTTCTCACCTAAATGCTATGTTTTCTGTATCCTTTTCTTTTCAATTCTACTTATTTATTGTTCAAGAACTTACCTACTTTCTCACCTAAATGCTATGTTTTCTGTAGCCTTCTCTTTTCGATTCTACATATTTATTGTTCAAAAACTTACCTACTTTCTTGACTTTTTCATTTTTAAATTAAGGGATGTGTGTACGATTATGAATAAACCTGCTGCCTCCCCTAACTTTCGTCAAAATGCATGGCTTGCAAACACAAATCAACAACAACCGTTTGGGACTGCCCAATTTGGCGGAGCTGGAATTTATAAAAATGTTACGTTTGGAAATACAAATGGAGGTGTAAATACAACAAGAACCCCCTCTGCCGTGCAAGCCGAACTTTCTTCTGATCCTATTGGTATTGATTGGATCTCCTGACAAATTAAATATGCATTTGGCAGAATTGCTTTTTTACTCTCTGTTCAACTCCAATTTTTTCTTCTAAAAGCACAATGCCTAAAGAACGAATGTCACAATTACTGTCTCGTCAGGAAGAATTGTTTCGTGAAGTTGTTGATTTATCACAACATTTGACCGTACAATCTACAACTGATTTTATGGCTGATTCTAATGAAGATTGGTCAAGGAGAGATGTGAAATGGTTTTTTTTTAATTTTGCTTTAATTAAAGAATTTTTTCTTTTAAAAATAGATGGCTCTTTCTTTATTAATGTGGTCAGGTTCCTGTGTTATTTGGCGTAATTCTGATCCAGCTTGCTTGCAATATAAACAAACTTTGGCAATGTGTTCTGAGCTTTCTCCAAAGATTATTTTGTATTTTTTAAATTTTATATTTTTTTGAAATATTATTTTAGGCAATTAGCTCGTTTAATTTCATTTAACACTAATTATTGTGGAACAAACAATCAACCAGAACTTTTGGACCAATTCTATGACATTTATGGATTTGATGAATCTCCTGTTCCAGAGAATTTAATGATTTTGGCTGTTCTTTCGCATTAATAGATTGCTTAATATCTGTAGTTTGAAGATTTGGATACAAAAAACTGTGCAAATTTGTGAACAAGATTGTTAGTTTTTTTTTAACTTTTTATTTTATGGATTAAGAGTTTTGTTTTTCTTTTTTAATTTCTGTTTGGTAATACTTTTCCTTTATTTTTTAAAATTCATTAATGGTATAGTACGATTAAAATTTTCAGTAAAAGAAGAGGAAGACTTCAAGCAATTGTTCAATGTATGTATTGAAGAATTAACTATAATGACCGATGTTTGTAAATTTCTCGAACAAAGTGAATATGGACCTGCTTTCTTCCGCAATATTATGAATTTCCTCGTTAATGCAACAAAAAATAGTGAACTTATTTCTACTGCAATTCCTCAAGGGAACGGAAATATTTTCATGGTGATGTAATTAATAATGTTGTTAATGAAGTTGTTCCTCGTATTCGTTCTTCATTTATTAATTTAACTCGAAGGTTTTTTTAATTTTAAATTTTTAAAAATATTTTTTATAGATGTTTAACTGTTGGTGGTAAACATCGTGAAGAATTGCTAAATATTTTTTGAGAAATATTGAGAGATAGAAATGAGAATTCTTCAAATAGAATTCTTCAGAATTCTTCAATCGTTTTGGATAATGAAATTATTAAGGTTTTTTGTTTAAGTGAAAGATTTATTTTATTTTGTGTTCTAGGTACACTTTACTAATGTTGTAGAACAATTACCTGATAGGGTTGTTTTGTACAACACAATTTTACCAATTTATGAAAGTCATCGACGAATGGTTCATCCAATTTTTGGTTGTCTCTCTGATGATTGTGTTCTCAATTTTGGTCTCTATACAAAATGTTCTGAACTAATTCCTTCTTCGCTTCAATCGGGTGCTGATACTATTGAAGAATCTTCAACATATGCATCGAAAGTTTCATCAAAGACGACTGCTTCCACTGAGAAACTTCCATTAAAGAATACAAAATATTCAGCAGCAGATCCACCTTCATTCACCGACTACATGTAAAGTTTTAAATTTATTTTTTAAATCGTTAGAATTGCCGGTTCAGAATCAAACCGAAACCTCGATAATTTTTGGTTTGTTTCTCCGTGTCGGTTTTAGGTTTCCAATGATTTTCGAGGTTCCAAAGACCAGATAATAAACCTTTTAATATCTAATAAACCTTTAAATATCGACCATAAATTGGGTTTTGTGAGGTGAATAATGGGGTTGTTCACGGTCGGTTAACCGAAACCGGTGTTTTTGGCTAATAAACCGAAAACCGGGGGTCGTAAACCGGTCAAAACCGAAAACCTGGGGTACCGGTTAATAACCGGTAGTGAACAACCCTACTGAATAACACTAGAATAGCCAATTATAGGCAAATTTATTATAAATAACCTAATATTTGTTTATTTTAGCTCCAAGATCTACAGTTCAAAGATTCGTAATAATGTTAAATCAACCTTTGTAACTCCTAAAAATTTATTATAACAACAACAACAAAAGAATATCAACCAATCATACTACAATTACTATTATTACACTCAAACTTTTTCAACAAATGTTTTAGCAACATCTATTACTGCTTCTTATAATATCACAACGTTTGGGTGTTTCTCATGAACATTAAGGTTTTATTTTTCTTTTTTTCCTAATAATTCAAAAAATTTTAAAGCTCATCAAGAAGAGCTTCTTTTATTCCCTTTTGTTGTTTTCGAAACAACCAAATCGTTTGGAGCCTTTACATCCTGCTATTGCTGAAGAACAGCCAATGGTTTCTTAAAATATTTTTGCTTTTTAAAAATATTTTTTAAAAGGTTGAATTATTAAATTATGTTTTGAATGCTGCTTTTCGTATGGAACGTTTATTCCAACTTGCTGGCACATTACAACAACAGACAATGGATTTACAATTAATTGGCGGCAGTGGAGGTGTTGGTGGACAAACTGTTTATATTACAAATCCATCAATTCACCGGTGCTATGCCTGCAACAACGTTATCTTCAGAAACAATAAATTCAACAACAACGAAATCTCTTGCACCAGTTTCAATAACACAATCTAATGCTTCGTTAGCCACAACTGAGAATAAAGGAACTCCAGTTGTTATTACATTGGGCGATGATATTGAAGTACCTGGACCAACTGAAATGACGACTGGCAAAACTCCAGTTGTAAAAGCACCAATTAAGGGAGGAACATCAAATATTCCACCCACCAAAGCAACACCGGCACAAACAAGTGGTCTCACTTCAGCAGCGTCTCCAACTTCTGTACCTCAACAGACAACTACAACAACACAAACCCAAACTAATGGAAATTATTGGGCAAAAGGCACAGGTTTTGGTAGTGGAACTACTCAACAGCAATGGAGTCTTAGTCAACATGTTGCAAAAAGAAGGCAAGATGAAAATAATGTTGCAGCATTGTTGCATGTATAATTTTTGTTTAGAATCTGAAATAATAATAAAATATTTTTTTAAAGATTCTTATCGCCTTTATTAGTCCTTTATCACAACGATTACAAGAAAATCAATCAACATTTTCAAATAAAAAAGAAGAAGAGAAACAAGAGACAACAAATTCTGGTGATGGAATAGAATTGGTTTTGCCAATATTTAATGAAGAAATAACTTGTTCCAAGGAAGATGAAAAGACAAATAGAATGAAACTGAAGAGAAGAAGAGGAAAGGATTGGATATTCCGAGTATTAAGCTTTCTGAAGAGTTTGTTGAACTTCTTTTCTGACCAACTGAAACAGGCAAAACTCCAGCTGTAAAAACAACTACTGAAGGATGAATATCAAATATTCCTCCAACCAAAACAACACCGGCACAACCAAATGCTGCTAACACACGAGGATTTATTGCTCTCACTTCACCAGCGTCTCCAACTTATGTACCTCAACAGACAACTACAACAACACAAACCAAAATGATGTAAGTTATTGGGCAAAAGGCACAGGTCTTAGTAGTTGAGCCACTCTCAACAGCAATGGAGTCTTAGTCAACATATTGCAAAAAGAAGGCAAGATGAAAATAATGTTGCAGCTTTGTTACATGTATAATTTTTGTTTTGAATCCAAAATAATAATAAAATATTTTTTATGATTCAGTGAAGCAGCTGGGCTATATCTATTTTCTCCTTTAACTAGTGCAAAAGGTTAATCGGCGGCTGGGGTCTTATTTTTTAGAAGGATGATTGGTCTGACGAATTCAATTCTGCCTCACCATCGACTCCTTTGGGACCTCATTCTTCGTCAATTACCGGCGTCCAATGCGCAATGCCAAAGTTTGCTTCGAAATTGCCAGCTGCTTCTTCAATCCTGAATGATAGTTCTGATCAACGAAAAATTTAATTAATTGATGCAAACACACAACTTTTTTTTGATGAAGGAATTAAATACATATGGGGAGTTGTTTGACAACGTAAAAATAATAATAGTGGAGATTCTGAAAATGGTGAACACATGATGTTATGTTTAAGTATGAGATGTGTACCAGAATCAACGCCTGGTAAATATTTGAATAAATTTTGGAATTTTTTGTGCAGAAATAATTTTCAAAATTTTAGCAGCGAAGCGAAGAGTTTCACAAAAAGCCTCCAAAAATGCTAAAAAATCTAAAATTGAGGAAAAATCTTCAATTTCTGTTTCCACTCTTGAACATTTTGCACGTTAAGGTGGACTGGTTGAATTATCTAAACATATCTTTATCGACGGTGTTTGACTCGTTTGCATATCTGGTACTTAATTTAAATAATTTTTCTTTTTAATTAAAAAAATTTTTTAGTCAAGAAAGATTGTCTTCTGACTTGATTGAACGTCTACAACGTGTTTGCTCTAATAATAACGTTAGTGTTTCTGCTGCTCATCAGTTCCAACAGCAGTCACCAGCTTCAACTGCATCAGCTTCCACAGCTCAGGGTCCTCCACAAATTTTGCAGGCTTTATCTGCTCCTCCAGGCTTTACTCCAACCTGTAAACCCTAACTCCTATTTATTTTCAAGAAATATTTTTTATAATTTTTTAGTTACCATTTTTTCAAACACAACCACCCTGTTTGTATTCAAATACTATTTCTAATATTCCAATGACTCAATTATTTATTTAACAATAATAATGAATGGCCTCCTCTTCAACCTGTTGGATTGGGAAATAATTTAAATGGAGTATGGAATATTTTTGGTACTTAAAAAGTTCTGTGAAATGTTGATAATGGAAGGATGGTAAAATTTATTCAATTTTACTTGTTAAATATAAAATTTTTTTCATTATTAGACCTATACTCGTCCGCCATTGATGCCAAATTCACCTCCCATTGATCAATTTTTCTTTAATTCTGTACATGTTATTGTTTTACTTGAATATTTCTTCGTTTAGAACAATATGGAGAATTAATTATTAAAATGGATTGTGAAAAGATAACAATTTATTATTAGAATGGATTAGTCTGATGAATTGAATTATGCTAGAACGTGAAATTTATTGTTTTTTAAGAACATTTTTAAAATATATATAGGAGATAATATTACAAATCGTATCGAAGATTTGATTTTATATATTCTTTTTTACTTGTAAATTTCGGTTAACTGAACCGAAGCGGAGGTTAAAACCTAAATCAAAAGTCTTTCGGATTAAAATATATACCCCGTGATATGCATTTTCAAAATTTAACGAATGGAATAGAAATTTACCAGAAAATCCGGTTCGGTTAACCAAAAGATTAGAGCCTCGACCTAGAGCCGAAAGTCCTAGTGTATCGGATTTGAGCATGTATTTCTTATTATGATTGTTTTTTAAAAATTTTGTCTTGAAAATTAAACATTTTTATTAAAATTAATTTTTATTATTAATTGAAATTTTATTCTATATTTTTAAATGAAAATTTAATAATTTTTTTACAATTTTTTTAAAAGCTGCTTTAAAACTTAAAATTCTCCAAAATGACTGAAAATTTTAAAAATTGCAATGACAATTTGTCTACATCATCATATTCTTGTTGTTCTTGTTGTTCATCGTACAATTCTGATTTTCAACAAATACTAAAATTGTTGGAGGTAGAAATTAAATAAATATAAAAATTAAATAAATGTTTTAACTTTTAGGAACAAAAAAACGACAAATTGGATTTTCAATTTTTATTTGATAAATTGGAAGTGGTAATTTTTTAATTGATGTAAAAATCTGTTGCCATTCCCGGTTGTCCAAGAATGCCAATTTTTTATATAAAAATTAAGACCCCACCCCGAAATATCGACACTCTAAACTTCGATGATCCAAAATATCGAAAGGCGTATAATGAAACGTGGTTGATCGCTGATATCAGATAAATGCGAATTCACATGTCTGGTGAAGGTATTGACGTGATAATGGCTTTATTAACGTTGTTTTTATTGTACTATCAAAAATTGCGATATTTTTGGGGGCGATATTTAGGCTGATGATATTTTGGGTGTCAATATTCTTGGGTGATCCCAAAATGAAATACCAAATTTATTTACTTATAATAAACAAATATTGATAAATCATTAAAATATATAATTTTAGTTAACTGTTAAAGAAGAAATAGGCCAACAAGAAATAATCAAAGAATTACAAGAATTGAATGAAAAAACGAGTGGAAATGTAAAAAAAATAATTTTTAAAAATTATGATCTAAAAATATTTTTCAGCAAAAAATTCTGGAACACGTAAAAAAAATTACTTTTCAAGAAGTTGAAAACAAAAAATTAAATTGTGAAGTGGAACAACAAAAAATATTTATAAAAAAATTGGAAGAAGACAAATTAACAAAGGATCAAGTAATTAAAACTATGACAGAAAATGCTGAAGATAATATTAGAGAAAAAAATTTAACTTTACTTGAATTGGTTAAAAAAGAAGAGGAAATGGATAAAATTAGAGAAGAAGGAGATGAATATTTTAATAAATTAAGTGTGTCAAATGATAAATTGGAAGAATCTTCAAAAAAAATTAATATACTTGAAGAAGAAAATAAAAAATTAAATAAAAATATGTCTCAACTTAAAAAAGACATTTTTCAAAATAAGAAGAATTATGAACAAGAAATTCAAGTAATTTTTATCTTATTTAAAAAAAATTTTACTTTTGGTTTACTTAAAAATTTTTTGTGTTTTGGGGACCTATGCCCAGTTAGTTTAAATATTTTCGCCATTATATTCAAAAAAATATGAAAGGTTGTAATTTGGAATTTCTAAGAGGGGACCAACATATGTGTATTATTAATCGAGATTGGCCGTATCGTACGACGTATTTTTCGGTATTATACGGTATTACGGTACGGTATGGTAAAAATTCTGATCTCTAATTATTATTTTCCTTCGCTCAAATAAATTTCAAATTAAAATTAATTTTTAGAAATTTACAAATATGGCGGACAAATTATCAAAAATAAATTTAAATTTAAAAGAAGATAAAGATGAAGTAAATAAAAAAGTAAATAAAATTTTTTTATTAATTAATTTTTAACAATTTAAAATTAGAACAAAGATCTTTTGGAAAAAAATGAACAATTACAATCTCAACTTAAAAATTGTTATAAATTGATTCAAGAAAAAAACAAAAAAATTTGTTCATTTGAAATGCAAGCTAAAAAGGTATTAAAAACATTTATAAAGATCCCCCTCTCCCAACTGTTAGATATTGCATTTCCTTGGACAATAGGCAATTATTGTTTCAATCACATGCCAGGGGGGGGGGTAACTAATAGAGGAAAAGTAATTATTTTGGGGAAGGCATTTAATACATATTATACGTTATCTCAAACAATCTATCATTAAGTTGTTCCTTGTTTTTCTTTAACGATAAAGGGATCTAGCTCTCCCCGTTTCATCCCCTTTATTTTTAAATTTAAATTTTTAAGTTGGAAAAAGAAAAAAATGATTTATCAATAAAAAATGTGGAATTGAAAACTCAATTAGTTGAAGTTTATAAAAAAATTGGAGAAAAAATTGTAAGATTTTTAAAGCTGGATAAACTAGGGCTGAACGTAATGAAAAAGATTTTGCTCGGCCGCAGTCCGCAATTTTAATTTTGAAATCCGCATTCTGCAAGTTTTCACAGATTCCCATCAATCACAAATCAAGTCAGTCTTTTCCTTAAATTTCTCTAAAATTCACAGTTGCGTCCACAAAAATTCACAGTTGCGTCCACAGTCTGCGTTCAGCCCTGATAGGGACGCTGACTTTCACCTTCTATTTTAATAGATCTTTTGAACCCCCGCCTAGTAAGCGTTTTAAATGCTAACCACAATTACCTAGATTTTTCTCTTCTTTAAAATATGTAAATTTTTTTCAGACATTTATGAAAAGACCAAATGAATTCTGCACAATTAAAATTTATTCGTGTTGCAACAATAATTGTATTAATTCTAATTTATCTGATGGAATATGTATTAATGGGAATGGATACATTAATGTTCATAAAAACGAAATAACATATAATAACTCTTTGACTGGGGGCGAAAATAAATGGATTTTTATTCACTCCCGTCATCCTTTTGCAAAAACTTCTGGCTTCAGCAACAACTATTCTTTATTTTATTTTGAAGTGACAATTTATAATGAAGGAAATGATTCGTAATGTTTTTTAAATTAATAAAAGAAAATAATTATTTTTTCAATAAATTAACTGTTATTTGGGGAGGAAAAAATGGAATAATTTACATAACTTTAACTGTGGGCCAGGGGCCCAAGCATTTGTAATTTTTTCGGGGTTACAGTCAGAGCTATTCCGAAATTTTGATTTTTCGTAAAAAAATTTTTAAAAATTCGAAAAACGAAATTTCGAAAATTTTCGAAATTTCGAAAAATTCTGTTCTTTCGCGAAATTTTTTGTTTCGAAAAAGCTTTGGTTACAGGATTTCGCCTAAGCCTGTAAAGTTAAATTTATAGTTGATTACCTAATTAGTCTTTTTACCCATTGAATTTTTCTCCGTTTAAATTTTTCAGAGAAATTTTTTAAATAATAAATTTGACCTTAAAAGACCTGTAATTTTATTTAAAAAACTTATTAACAATTTTTATAGGGCTTATGCGGGTATTGGAGTTGGCTATAATTATGGTTTTGATGTTACACCTGTAGCTAAAATATATTTGTGCAACATTATCGACTCGTATTGTGAAAACTGTTCAAAATATGAATGGAAAAATGGGGATGTTTTTGGCTGTGGAATTGTTTTCCCTCCAAAAAATGATTCAAAAACAAAGGCTTATGGATTTTTTACTAAAAATGGAAATAAAATTGGTGAGTTTAAAACGAAAAAATAATTTTTGGTCTGAAAAAGTTTTTAAATTTCTCGATGACCTTTTGGTGTAGAGACCGGACTTAGAAGATTTCGAACGAAAATCTCGGTTATCGAGAATTGATATTTTTTGGGGTTATCTTTTAATGGCTCCCGGAGATTTGGGGAGTGGACACTTGGGGAGTGGACATTAGGGGAGTAGATAAATGGGGAGTGAGCGGACAATTGGGGAGTGGACATTTGAGAGTAGCATAACGATAAAAATACAATGAATATTAAATATTTTTCTTGCTTTTGTATTTAAAAAACGGTTATGTATAAGTTCACAGGAGATAAAAGTTTGGGACGTGGAATATGTCATTCGATTCGTTTCGGCGAGCTGAGTCGAACTCCAATTTTCGAAAAAAACGCAAACTCCAATTTCGGAAAAAAATTCAACTACCTATTTCAGGAAATATTCTGAACCGAGTTATAGGTTGAAAAATTGAAAAACCATAGGGAGGAGGGGGTAAGCTCGATTTTGGGTAAAAAATTCGAATATGCAAGTAATAGCTCATTCGAAAGAGCTTTCGATCTGAGTCGAATGACACTAAAATTAGATTGATTAAACAAGTTTGAGTCGAGATATAGGGCTCGAAATGGTCAAATAGCAATGGTGGGATTTTACATAGAGTCAAAAATTTGAAAAAACATATAATAGCCATTCGAGAGATTCCTAATTTATTTTTTTAAATACAAAAGCAATAAAAACTATTTAATATTCTATTGTATTTTTATCGTTAGGCTACTCCCCAAATGTCCACTCCCCAATTGTCCGCTCACTCCCTATTTATCCACTCCCCAAATGCCCACTCCCCAAGTGTCCACTCCCCAAATTTCCGGACACGCTTTTAATTACCAATTCTTGTTCCAAAACACCGAAAATTTCTAGCCTTATTCAGTTTGACATAAAATTTAACCTTTTCCTTCATTACAAAGAACTGGAATCTCTCGCATCTCTGCTTTCCTTATAAAAAATAAGGAAGAAAGGGAAGGAAAAAATAAAAAAATCAGTAAAAAGTGGGGGGAGGGGAGGGGTACGAGCCGAACTATTACCCTATATTTAAGTTAAAATTTCAAAAATACTAGGGATATACTAAATTCACAGTCCTTTTTTGTATATTTTTCAAAAAAAATTTTTTTGAGACTAATATCTAAAAATTTTTAAGGAAAAAATATTTTGTTGGAAAATGATGAAATTAATTTTTATCCATTTATTGGACTTTCTTCTTGTTCTGCCAAAACAAATTTTGGAAGTGAAGCAACCCCTTTTATGTATGATGTGAACAAGCATGTTCATTGAAGAAATTGAATTTTTATTTATTTTTTGATTGTTTTTTTTTTGATTATTTATCTATTATTTTTTTGTTTATTTATTTATTTTTTCCTTTAAATTTTATTTTAAATTAGTAAAGTTGTACCCCGAACGTTAAAGGGGTAAGTGTGTTGATGTACGGGGTTATTGAATTGTTCCGGGTTTGGGGTTCGGGTTGGGGAGAATTGTGAAAAAATCGTTCGGTGTCGGGGTACAACACTTTAAAATTACAAAAAATATTTTATTTTGAATAAATTAAATCGAAAAAAGTCGAAAATTTCTCTTATAATTTTGTTTTAAGTGGACTTTTTAATCCATATATTTTTAACGTCAGAAAAACATTTTTTTATCTTTTCAGGGGGTTATCCAAGATCGGCCTGTGTCGTGGAGCAAGAGAATAACAGTTTTTCAAAGCAGCCGTTTGTAGACCAAACGTCCGCTAACCGTTTGTAGACCAAACGTCCGCTAACCGTTTGTAGACCAAACGTCCGCTAACCGTTTGTAGACCAAACGTCCGCTAACCGTTTGTAGACCAAACGTCCGCTAACCGTTTGTAGACCAAACGTCCGCTAACCGTTTGTAGACCAAACGTCCGCTGACACATTGTCTTGGAGCCTCCATAAAATCAAGAATTTTTTGTTTTTTTTAATCTTTTCAGCAAAAAAAAGAGCAAAAATTAAAATAATTATAATTATTTTTTAGATTAAATCAACTCAACTTAATCTTTAAAAACAAAAATTTATTTTCAATTATGTATTGTCTTCAATGGTTAATGCCTATCCTTTTAATACCCAAACAATTAGTTCATCCAGCATTTTTAATTGATCAAGCGCTCTTTTTGTGGTTTTATATTGCTGGTTTTGTTTTGGAAAGAAGGTTTATTTAAATTTATTTTTTGGGTAGGAAGGGGTGGGAGTATCGATAAACAACCAAGAGATCGGGAACTTAAAAGAGACTTTGATTCTTAAGTTTGGTCGAGGCCCTGACTGATTGTGAGTCAAAGAAAAACCAAAGAACACTGAAAATTAGGACTTATCCAAAATCATTTGTACGAAAAACTGGTTTGGGATAACCCATAAGTACCAAAAATGTCTTTAACTTGATTCTAGTTCCAACGAAAATCAAGATCCAGGCCGATCTCAAGTCCCAATAAAACAAGATTTTAAATAAAAGGGTGGAAACATGGTACCCGTTGAGCAACATTTTTATTCCATTTTGTACCAATTACCTTTGAAATAGGGTCATTAGGGGAGTCATGGGTTCGAGTCCGCTTGGGGAAATTATTTTTTAAAATTTTCGTAAGGACAAAAGTAGACCATTTTGAGCTTTTCTAGGGTGACTTTTGGGAGGCACAGTCTCTGTAACACTGGAAAATACCCTCAGGGCATCATTTGGTTTTCTTTAGTATGGCTGTTGGTAGTAAACCGAAAAAAGGATTTGGGCTCGGTTTTTTAAGTTTGGGCTCGATTTTTGATTACCGGCTTGGTATAACCAAAAGAATTTCCGAAACAAACAACTCCCTCTACACAAGCACTACTCTAGCATTTTTAATAAAAAAATTTTTAATTCAGACCCTGCTATATTTGTCTAGCTATATTTATTCTAACCGTTTTGGTTCTTTGTTATAGTGATGAAGAACGTTGTGTACTATGGCCAATTTGTGAAACAATGATGAATGGGGAAATGTGTAAAAATGCTTATGAAAGGAGAATGGCTACACAAAAGTATTAAAATTTTTTTAATTTTTTGGTATTACTGCTTCCATTTCTCTTACATACTTTCTGAATTTATGGAGTCATTACGAAGGGAGTGGGTTAGAGTTCACCCACGACCTCCGTAATGACCTCATAATCCGTAATGACCTCATGGGTTAGAGTTCACTTGCTGATTTTGCGAAATCTTCGGATATTTCGAAATTTTCGGCTATCTGAACTTTCTTGGGTCCGTCCAACTCATTTGGCCCGATTTTTGGTAAGACCGTTTTGTCCGTCCGAGTTTTGTCCTGGCACGACTGGGGTATTGTTCTCTACACCATATCGAGTAACAGCAAGTGATGGCTCATTTCCTCTCCCCGTATACCCTCAGGACATGTTTTCTGCATTGTTTGAAGTAGCTGCAAGTAATAGCTCCTCCAACGCGGCTCTTCAAGCTGTGCCGATGAAACTCGAATTATCTCGATTTTGTGAACTCTGAAAAAATTATGACCCTTTAAGCGGGACGGTGTCTGATCTAAATAATTTAACTTTCATTCACGGCAGTAGTACCAATTTTTTAATATTTTTTGGGAATTAAAAATTCAACTTTGTATTAAATTTAGAGCTCGATAAATAAAAAACGATAAAAATTTTTTCCAAATTAACCGAATAAAAAAATATTTTTTGTGGATTTTTTTTTGTTTCTCGAGCTTTTTCCAAATATTTTTAGATTTTATATATTTATGTTTATAATTTTTAATTGCTATTTACCTACATAATTATGTATGGTTGGTTGCCGGAATTTTGGTTACAATGTAATTTTGGTCTCGTTTGTATATCCGTTGGTTTTCTTCATAACCTGGACCCGTATCATAAGACTGGGCAAAATGTCCCGGTCACTTTAACAATAAGAGAACCTCGTGGTTTACCACCGTCGTAGGGTCACTTTTCTATGAACCAGCTCCAATGCTATTTTTTCTGGAGTTATACAACGAAATAAAATCTTTTGTCACTCCTTTTCCTTGTTCATTCCTAGGCAAACTCGTAATCCATGTTCATTAACAACCCCTACTTTTGAATAAATCCAGGCATTAACCGAGGCCAACCAAAATTCCAGGATTCAATTATTTTGCTTTTTTTAACTATATTTGTATAGAAAATGGATTAAAATATTTTACCTTTTTTTAATAAAAATTTTTTTGGTTTTTTGAATAAATGAGAAAAAATTTTTTTCTTTGATTTTTATTTTATAACTATTTAATTTTTATGTATATTTTTTAATTATTTTCATTAAAAAAAATTTTTTTAATTTCAAGCTATATAGAATATTTTTCGAAAAAAATAATGGGAATTGGTGGAGTTTTCTATCGAACGTTTGGTAGACGTTTCTCTACACTTTTGTTGTTCTCTGCTGGTAGCGGTATATTTTTGGATATTTATGTGAGTACAGGTTTATTTAATAAATAAAGGACTTTGAAATTTTTTGTGGCTAATTAATTGAGGATAATTTTCCGATGACAGGGCACCAACCATTAACTAAATATAGTACCCTCAAATAATTAATCGATGGACTTTTTCTGTTCCTGCCAGTAACTAAAGGTTCTCCGTAGTTTATACTAGAGATCGGGAATTTTGAAAAGCCTGGACCTGTTCCTGGACTCTGGAGTTGATTTCTTGACCTGGACTGGAGTCTGGGCCTGTAGTCCGGGAAAAACCCAGTCCCAGGAAAAACCCAGGAAGGTCAAAGAATACCTGGACTCTGGGTACAGGAAAAACCCAGAACTTGGTCCAGACCCAGGCCGATCTCTAGTTTATACTAGGGTATTTTGCTACAACTTTATACTAGGGTGTTTTTTACCCTTTGTGGTCGGAGATCGGGATTTGCCGGGGAGGGCAAAGGGGTCGGATTACTACACTAGTTTATACAACGAACTTCACTATAGAATAGTAGACCCCTAAGGATAGGCAAATTTCCTTCACTCGATTGTCAACCAAATCTTAAACATATCCTTAAATTGAGGTGTATTTAATGGGTCTGGACTAGAGATCGGCCTGGGTCTACCTGGGGTTTTTCCTGTACCCAGAGTCTAGGCCTAGGCATTCTTTGACCTTCCTGGGGTTTTTCCCGGTTTTTCCTTTGTCTTTCCTGGACTACAGGCCCAGGATCCGGTTTAGGTCAATAAATCAAAAAACGGCACCCGGGAACAGGCTCAGGTTTTTGTTTTTCAAAAATCTTTATCTCTAGTCTGGACCGAATTTAATAAATTATTTTAATTAAAAAATATTTTTTAGATCAACAAATTTGGACAATTCATTTGGGATTACAAAAATTATGGTAAAATAATTTTTAAAATTTTTTTTATCCCTAGTCTGACCATTTTGAGCCTTTTAAAAGGCTATAGGAGAGACAGAATTTTTTAAATTTATTTTTTCTTTTCAGGAAAGCAGTGGAAGGACATTAAATACCGATATATGGAAGAATCTGAATAAAGTGAAAGGAGAGAGTTGAATGTTCTAAATGAGAAGAGTGGGATAAAAAATAAATTTCCGTCCAAATTTATAGGTTATATTTTAATGTAAAATTGTTTTCTTTTTGTGGTTTAAAATAAAAATTAGTATTGAATTTGTAGAAGAAAGCTTCCTAGTTTTTAAATGATTATTGGCCTAATTCTTTTAATTTGTCATTCTAACGATAATAAAGCAGAGCCTCCAGCTAGTGGTCGCTCCTTCAGCTAGTGCCAAAGGTTATTCGGCGGCTGGGAGCGAACTACCAGCATTTTCAGTAGACCGGACTGATGTGTTAGCAATTACAACACGCCGTCTACTGCACAGCCTTAGGAAATTAATACGTAGCAGTTTATGTGCTTGATATAATTATAGTCTCTTCTCTTCCAGATGTGTAGAGGAGAAATTTTGTGTTTTCGACGTTTTCCTCCGATTTTGCAAAAAAATTCTTTTTTATTTTTGGGTTATTTTTTTTAATTTTAAGCTACAAGTAGGCTACTTCCATTTTCAACTCATTTAATTTTCTACAATCTTGACTTGTGTTGATCCTTAATGGTTTTTTGTTTTTTTATCTGTTCCAGACAACTTAGACCGAAAAGAAATCCCCTTTTTTAGTTTTTTTCCAATATTAATCTCATTTTATTCGAAAGTCCTCAATAAACAGAATCTCTTCTCCAAATAAATGGATAAAGTCTAACCACTAATCAAAAAATTAATTCATCTATTTCCGTGTGGAACGACTATTTATAAAAACTTTCCCTTATGGATCATTTGACTTTTGATGTTTTGAAAAATTTAAATTTTATTTCGAAACGATATTCTCTGCAGTTTATTTGCAGTTTTCTCTCTTCGATTTTTCTTTCTCTTATCTTTACATTTAATTTTTGGATTTCCTTTCAAAATTTTTTAATTAAATTTGTAATTTAATAACTAAATTTTTTTAGCATTTTTTATTTCTAAATAATTCAAAACCTTCAATTAATTAAAAATTCTTGGATAAAATGGTATATTTTTTAATTGCCTTTTTCCACTAAATTTTTAAATTTAGGCAGAAACTACAAAAACTCCTGGAGGCGGTAAAGTTGTTCCACGTTCTGCTGCTGGTGTTGTTCGCCAACGGTATAATTTTTAAATAGGATAAATCATCTGATAGGGAACAGGACGAGGAGCTACGCTAATTGACCCAGAATCCGAGTCTGGGCATATTCTTGGGGGTTTTATTTACTTCCGATTTGACTCTTGCCAAGGTCACTGGGTTGGAATACAATCGAGCCTTGTTTTACATATACCCCCGATTCTCAGGAATCTGGTTAAAGCCCTCAGCCAAAATTAAGACTCGAAGTTTTTTAAGTTTCCGATGCTAAACGTAATTGTTGAGATTCGTGTTTCAGTAATAGTTAGGAAGTCCCCCCTTTTTTCTCGTTTCCCTGACCATTTTGAGCTTTTTGATGATAAACTAGTGAACGATCGTCGAGGGAAACTAGGAAAAAATAGAAAGGAAAAGGGGGGCGAATTCCAAACACCGGGTTTTCCCTTATTGGGTATTGCTTAAATTACGTGGTGTTATTAAAAAAGTTATTAAAAATGACCCAACGACTTTGATAAGGTCTTAGGCCTGGCGTCAAACCTGTTTCTGTTTCCAGGCAACTATCAGACTCTGGTTACGCAAAACTTGGTTTCTCGTCCTGCCCGATTGCTAATAGTCCAAGCCCAGGCCTTTTAAACATCTTTATCTTTATTCGCAATATTTCAGTCGTGGAGGAACAACTACAAATTCACGAGCTCGCACAACAGCTGGAGGGCCAAATAGTGGTGGACTTTGGCGTTTTTACACTGAAGACTCTACTGGATTGAAAATGTTTGAACTTTAAATTTTTTCTTTGAAATTTCCCCAATTTTTTCAGTGGACCTGTTCCCGTTCTAGTCATGTCACTTGTATTCATTGCCAGCGTATTTATTCTTCACATGTGGGGCAAATATACTCGAAGTCGTTAAATTGACAGTGGACGTTATTTCGTGAAAGTTTTTTTTTAAATATTTTTTGGTTTAAAAAATTTATTTTTTTTTCTTTGAAAAAGACGATCGTTTGGTTAAAAAATGAAAAAGAAAAATTATTTCAGAATTCCTACTTTAAAAAATCTATGGGTTTCAACATTTAATAGTAGTTCTCCTATTTCTAACACCTCCAACCGACACCTATTTGGCTACGATAATAAACTAGTGAACGATCGTCGAGGTAGAGATTTTATTAACGCTTTTGTGAAAGAAATGTATAAATTCTACATATAATTAAAAATGTGTGATTTTAAAGAAGATTGAATGCAAAAAAATTTCAGTCTTTAAAGGTTTTTCTCTAAATTTTAACATTTGTTAATTCTTAAATTCTCCCGGATTCAAGCAAACCATTTTTTAGGATTTCCTGATTAAAGGTTAGGAGTTTGGCAAAGGTCCTCGCCCCAAAATGGAGATTTTTCGGATTCTGTCTTAAATCCCACTTCCCCACACTTTGAAATCACGAAAATACATCAATAAATGGTGACTTGTCCCGGGGTTGGAAAGAAACAGTTATCTTTTCTTTATCCTTTAATCTTTTAATAAAAAAAATTTTTTTTGACAATAAAACAACCAAAAACTCCTTTTTTACGAAGATATTGACGCTTCCAGAACCTTTTGTTGTTGTTGATTAATAGGGAAGCCAAGTGTACTTCTCACCAATTTATTAGCCGTTAACTCGAATTGTTCCCTATCTTCTCTCCACATTTTTGCTGCATTCACATTTGCGGCGCTCTCATCGTTTGGTTCTAAATTTAAAAAAAATTTTCAAAAAAATTAAAAAATAAACCAGCAAGCATAGAAACAACAGAAATTAATATTTTTTCGACTGATTGGACTGGAGACCATCGCTCTGCAGAAGTCTCATATCCTGTCGGGTCATCTTTGTAGAAAAAAATTTTGAACGGATAATTTTTAAAGAAAATTTATTACCTCCAGGAGTGTGCAAAATACTGAAAAATAAAAATATTTATTTATGTCAAGATGACGCAAAAAGGTCAAAATGTGTATCCCTGAATTTTAGCTAACAAGGGAACATTCCGAACTGTGACCAAAAATTTTCAAATAAAAATTATACCATCGTGTAGAGCATGGTCGAATACGTATTGTAGTAGGTTTCTTTTTTGGCCCTGACCCCCATTTCGGAAAGTTATAGGGCTTCAAAGTTTCCGACTTTTGGAATGGTTGAGTCTCCCTTACTTTTCTCTCCCTTTTATTTTCTTTTCTTTTCTACTCCTTTTTCTTCTCTTTTCTTCTACCCCGCTTTTTTAAACAAATAATTTTTAACAATATTTATTCATTTAATTTTAATGAGTACAACGATGAGGTTGTATAATAAAATGCTCAAAACAAATGTTGTTGGCACACCAAGAACACCTAATAAACGGGGGTTTCCCACAGTTACAATTTAAAGATATAATCATGTTTCTAAAACAATATTGAGGTGGCGTTTCATATGAAGGTATTTCTATTAATCCCAAAAATCCTGACAGCTTCCAAGCATATCGGATGAAGTTCTTAAAAACTGGAGCCGAAAACATAAAGTGTGTTTCATTGAGTATTCTGCCTATAATCGAAAAAAATACCGATAAAAATTATCCCAAAATTATACCAATGCTGGTCCTATGAGAAATGTTATAATTATTATAAGATCTTCGTATTTTTTCATGAATAATTCGCAAAAAAAGCTTTAGTTGGCGATTGAATAACCTATCCAGTGGCTGGATTTTCGAAGTCGATTTTGGAGGTAAACAAAGAAAACGTAAATGGGACCGTAGTCTGTAATTTTCAGTACACCTTTTGAAACCCGTCCAGCAATCATGTAAGAATATTGTCCCGGCTTGAACTTTTGGTGCGAATTCATTTAAGAACCATTGTAATTGTAGTTCACTAGTCATTTTTCCAGAAGGACTAGCAATACAAACCAATCGTTCAAACTGGGCCATATCCTTAATATGCCAAATTTTCACGATAATTACCCTCCCCCGATTAATTACCCCCCCCCCTTATACCTGATCGAATCGTTGAGGTTTTTGTGGTTCATAAAGACATAATAAGAATGTATTGAATAACTCGCCATTCAAACTAATAACCGGAAATAATGTGAAAGAATGGGTAATAGAACGAAGCTTTTGATGCGCCGCAAGGACATCCTTTGAACCTGATGCTTCTAATGTACGGTAAGAAGGAAGCTCAATGTTTACCCCTGTATGGTCGCCGTTCGTGATCTAAAAATACAAAGACCCCATCTCATTACGTTCCCTACAGGCTTTAAATGTCTCTAAAGTGTGTCTTTCTATTTCCGCAAATTTTTGAAAAGTTGTTCCTCCCTGGGAAACGTATTCTTTTATTCTCACTATCTCTTCATTACTTTTTAATTTTTTGAAATTATGTCGAATATAATTATAAGTCTTGCCGGAATTCAACAAACGGACAATTTCCAGCTGGGTCTCAAAGGGGTATTTTGATTGTGTAGGGTTCCTATTTATAGGGTTGACATCATCCGATTCTTCGTCGGAATCAAAATACACATCTTCCTCATCACTATCAGAAGATAATACAACTTCTTCAGGCTCTTGATGGGAATAATTAATAGTATCTTCGAAACCCTTTAGACCGGCCATTTTAAATAAAATAAAAGAAAATAATATTTTTGAATATTTTTTATTTTTAAATGTAAATGATTAATTTTTTCTACATATTTCAAATATATATTTAAATTTTTTTAAATTTCCCAGCTAAATTTCCATAAATTCCAATCAGTAACAATCACATTCCCTTTAATTTTTTAACAAAGAAAATAGAAGGAAGAGTAGAAGAAAAGAGAAGAAAAAGGAGTAGAAAAGAAAAGAAAATAAAAGGGAGAGAAAAGTAAGGGAGACTCAACCATTCCAAAAGTCGGAAACTTTGAAGCCCTATAACTTTCCGAAATGGGGGTCAGGGCCAAAAAAGAAACCTACTACAATACGTATTCGACCATGCTCTACACGATGGTATAATTTTTATTTGAAAATTTTTGGTCACAGTTCGGAATGTTCCCTTGTAAACCTTTGGAATCTTCGCCTCTGTTACAATCATCGCCTTCAAAATATAAAACTTCAGGGTCTTATAACCTAACTATCCAATTTAAAACCATTTAGCCTTGACAAGGGTTAGCGGATTCTGGAAAAAAACAATTTCGAACATCCGGAATTTCTTCGGATCTGAATCCGCCCACCACCTAGTCTTAACTAGTGACCTGATTTAGTTAAAGTAGCCAACTGATATATCACTTATTAACCTCTTTTCCTTTAACTTTCTTAAATGTTTCTTTTCATGTCAAAAATTTTTTGTTTACGGGGTTTGCCCTTTTTGTAAAAAAAATTAATGATTTATCGACTGCTTTGCTATCAGACAGGAAATAAAAGTCCTCAGGAAAATTCTCCCATCAAAAAATTTGGGGACCTTTGGCCCGGCTAAAACTCCCAAAAATTTAGTGATTAAATTTGGCGTCCTCTTTTCGTTAGAGGACGAAAAGTAACTAAAATAATCTACAAACCAACCTTATACAAACCCTCCCATCTGGATAAATATTTGGATGGAAGATATCACACAAAAATTGCATCTTTGGCGGGCTTAGTGGATAGTCCTTTAAAAACATAAATAATAAATCATCTCAAAAATACAAAAAAAAACCTCAGAAAATGTCAGCTTTGCAGGAAACAGTCCATGTTCAAAACAAGTCCCTACTGGCCCAGCAATTAGGCAATGCCATTCAAAAAAGTTTTCCTCATCCTTTGGTCCGGCTACAATTCCTTCTGTTGGGTTTTGAACTAATTCTGAAATATAAAAAGATTTTAAATTTCTAGAGAAAGTTTGTGTTTTTCTCGCTAATATTGACAAAGCTTGGGTACCATGAAATTAATTTTAATTGCCACTGTCCCGGTTAGGAAGCCATAACTTTTTTCAAAATTCACCCTAGGTCATCAATTTATATGTAATATTAGTTAGATTCGGCTTGTTCGAATGAACTATCAGCTACTGTTACCTTCCCCAATGTAGAAAATATGCACTGAGGACATATGTAAGAGGAGGGGAATGCATGCACCCACTAAGGTCAAAAAAGTGCCACTCGATTAGAGATAGGACCAAGGCGGATCCCGAAAAAAATCTCGACTTGGAGAGATCCCTCGCATTGATTTTGCGATCTCGATTCATCTCTACCATCGAGATTATGTCCGAAATATAATTAAAAAATAAAAAAATTCTAAATTAAACCTTTTACCATAATAATTAATTTTATTCACTCACGTCTATATTCTGTCATTAATCGACGTAAAGCAACACCAGCCATTTCAAAAGAAGTTTTGTTTAAATTATTAAAAATTGCTAAAAAATATTTTTCAAATAAAATTTGAGATATTAAAAAGCTAAGACAACCTTTAATCAAAAATTAAAGAAAAATTTATCCGTTTTAATTAACAATAATTTGTTCAGAATTTAATAAAAAATAAAGTTTATTTTAGAAAAATACCAGTCTAACTAATAAATATTTTTAAAATATAATTTTAATGTGTTTTTAAGTAAAGCTAAAAAGGTAACAACATTTAACTGCTAACAAGATTTTTTTCGTTTACCGGACTATAACTCATCCCAATTATTGTTTTTCAAAAAAAAACTTATTGTTGGCAGTAAATGTTGTTCTTTTCTAGACATTTTCAGCTTTTTCAACTAATGGAGAACAAATTTTTGGCATACTTGATTGCGTGGCAGCTAGAGTGGAGGGACAGTAAAATAAGCGGAGCAGTGGAAAAAATTTGATCGAATATACCGTCTGTTATGGGTTAAACTATTTATGCCCGATTGCCGTTTATTTGGATCCATTGTTATGTTGCGCATTTCACATAAAAGTCCAGTGTAACACAACCCAATAAAACATGAATATTTCAAGTCATTTGGAGCATTAAAGGCAAAGAATTCAGGTGGAATTGGAGTGGACATAGAGCCAACAGCAACACAATAGACAACACCGAAGCATTTTTCACCACCAGCTAAAAATTCAATCAAAGCGTTAACCTGTTTCTTGTCCTTTTTTACCTTCTCCTTCTCTTCCTTAACTTCTTTCTTGTCCTTGGTTAACTTTTCTTTCTCTGTCTTAAGATCGGCTTCTTTCTTTTCCAATTCAGCAGCTTTTTCTGCGTTAGCTTTTTTTTTGTTCAATGACTAACTTCTTCTCATCTTTAAACTTCTTTTCCGAGGACCCAAACATGATCTTCATTTTCTAAAAATATGAAGATTTAACTATTATATCGATCGCTGTCACTTTATAGTAGGTTGACTTTTTTAATTCGTTAAATCTTCATATTTTTAGAAAATGAAGATCATGTTTGGGTCCTCGGAAAAGAAGTTTAAAGATGAGAAGAAGTTAGTCATTGAACAAAAAAAAAGCTAACGCAGAAAAAGCTGCTGAATTGGAAAAGAAAGAAGCCGATCTTAAGACAGAGAAAGAAAAGTTAACCAAGAACAAGAAAGAAGTTAAGGAAGAGAAGGAGAAGGTAAAAAAGGACAAGAAACAGGTTAACGCTTTGATTGAATTTTTAGCTGGTGGTGAAAAATGCTTCGGTGTTGTCTATTGTGTTGCTGTTGGCTCTATGTCCACTCCAATTCCACCTGAATTCTTTGCCTTTAATGCTCCAAATGACTTGAAATATTCATGTTTTATTGGGTTGTGTTACACTGGACTTTTATGTGAAATGCGCAACATAACAATGGATCCAAATAAACGGCAATCGGGCATAAATAGTTTAACCCATAACAGACGGTATATTCGATCAAATTTTTTCCCCTGCTACACTGCTCCGCTTATTTTACCTGTCCCTCCACTCTAGCTGCCACGCAATCAAGTATGCCAAAGATTTGTTCTCCATTATTTGAAAAAGCTGAAAATGTCTAGAAAAGAACAACATTTACTGCCAACAATAAGTTGTTTTTAAAATTATTCGATATAACACCCCTCAACCTTTCACGTCGTTATAGTCGAAGTTTATGGGTTTTGCTTTTTCTCACCTATCTTTCCACTTTGAACTCTAGAGGAACTGATATTATTTGTAAAAACCCAAATTCTTTACAAGAAAGCTCATCTCGTGTCATAAAAAGTTGAGGGGTTCTTTATTGAACTTTACCAAAAATATAACTTTTTTTTGTTGACAGTTAAATGTTCTCCCTTCGTCAATATATTAAACAAAATCTAATTTAAATAATTTTTTAAACTTATTTCGATCATTTCTTCCTATAAAATTTTTTCTTCGTCCTTTTCTTCTTCAATCCTTGTAATTTTTAATTAAATTAATTAAAGCATTAGTGCTAGAGTCATGTGTAGTTATTGGTTCGTTGTCTTCTTTTTGTAATTCTGACTGGATTACTTTAGCTAATTGTTTGCCTAATTCAACACTTTAAAAATAAAAAAAAAAGTTTTTTTTTGAAAATTGTTTAATTTTGAATTTTAAAGACCATTTTTTGTCTTCTTTCCCAAGTATCCTTACACGGAAAGGTTGCGAGGTGTCCGACCTAAAAACGGTCGAGACCATGTTCATTTGCTAGAGAATGTGCCCTTTAAAACAAGGATTTTGAGCCGTTTTTGCCCTTTTTTGATCTGGTCAGAATATGGCCCTCCAAAGTCCCAATCAAAAAAGGATAATTTTGGAGGTATAACAATTTAAGAAACTAATAAACCTCCAATTTTCAGTTTAGAAATTAAAAAACAGAAAGAAATTCAGAGTCTCAACCCATGAATAAATTGCGTTTAACCGACAACGGTTTAAACGCATAATTTTTTCCGAGGAAACGACCAAAAAGTGAGAACGAATTGAGAGAAAAAAATAAAGAGGAACTTATAAAGCTCAAAAATAAATATTAAAACTAAAAAAACAGACCCCCATTGATCAAAAGAATTAATTCCCCAAATAATTCCTTGAACAAAAATTTTATGTTCATATATTGCAATTAAAGATCCCAATGTATTTGGAGTAATTTTAGGCAAAAGTAAAGTGTTTGTAGGTCGATTGCCTTCAAAAACCTTTAAAATGGAATTTTTAAATTTAAATAAATTTTAATTTTGTGAAAACCTTGTGCGGCAAAATTTCTTTAATTTTTGTTTCGTCCATTCCAGATTGTTTAAGCTCACTTTCTACTTCATCAGAAGTCTTTCCTTTCATTAAAGCTTCAGTTTGTGCCAAGAAATTGGCAAGTAAAATCTGTGAAATGAAACAAAAAATTTATAATTGAGAAATTTTTTATATTCCGTAACCAAAAAGCCAAAAAATGGCAAGAGGAAAAGGGCCATCCATTTTCGCTATAGTTCAGGAATCCCTTGTACCTACAATCCTCAATCGGAACAGAGGTCGATGGAAATGACGAAGGTGCCGGAAATCGGAAGAAAAAACGTCGGAAAACGGAATTTCGATCGACTTATGAATCGGAAAAGAGCTCCTTGTAAGCAAAAATACAAATGTCCTTATAGTATCTCCAACTGACAAGAATATTTTTCAAGACTTTTTACTTAATATTCCCGCTTAATGCAAGACAGAGCTTCGTTAAAAATAAAAGAAATCGACAAAATTTTCAGAAATAACGAAATCCCTGCTTACAGGACCTTGACCCAAAATTTAAAGCCAAAATATTAATTAAAGAAACCGTATGGTGAAGACCTCCACTAATAGGATTCAAACTTTGAATTGGTGCAATAAAATCGCAGGGAATTAGATGTTTTCCTTGATGGATTAATTGATAAAAGGCGTGTTGTCCATTAGTTCCAGGTTCTCCCCAAACAATTGGTCCTGTTTGTAACAAAGTTCCAGAGCCATTTCTTTAAAGAAAAAAATATTTCTTTAAAACCAAAAAAACCTCAAAACACTTTTTCCATTACTTTCCATATCTCCTTGTTGAAAATAGGCAGCAAAGCGATGCATATATTGATCATAGGGCAATAAAGCAAGTGTCTCAGCTTTATGTAAATTTATATAGAGAATGCCCAAAACAGCCAGAACTACAGGAATCTATAAATTTTTAAGGTCATCTCAATAGGTTTCGAGTCTAAAAAATCTTACAAGGTTTTTTGGCCCGAAACCGTATCCAAAGAAATTTCCGAAATTTTTTTTTTATTTTTTTAAGGCTGTGACATCTCGGTCTCGTGCCAGTTAAAGAATAGTCTTGGCCTCAAACTCCTATCAATCATAAGAGACTCAGCCAAGAATTTCTAGTTTTTAAATGACAACCCTATCTAGCAATAAAAAAATATACATTAGATTCGAGCGGTGTTTGACAAAAATGTTTATCAACAAGAAAAGCACCGTCAAGCAATTGTTCAAAATTTTCGAATCCAATGTGAACAGCAATTGAAAGACCAATTGCAGACCAAAGAGAGTAACGACCACCAACCCAATCCCAAAATTCGAACATATTCTCTTCAGAAATACCTTAAAATAAAATAGTTTGGATATTTTAAAATTATTATAACTTAAGGATGGCGACTATCTTAATATTCTTGTAGTCTTAATAAGAAAAGACTAGATGAAGAATCTACACTAGGGTCGTTGGTTCAGAACCGAACCGGATAAAAAAGGATCTTTCGGTTTGTTCCGGAGATGTTTAAAGAAGAGACGACTTTAATCTAACCTTTTAAAAGGCGTAGTAAAATTCAAGACAATCGGAAAACAAAAGTAAACTTATATTGAGCAAAATACCGAAATATTTAAGTGATTTTTAGACTCAAGGAGCAAAAAGCTAAAAAGTATACCAAATTCCTTGACTTTAGTTGCATTTGTAGAAAGCGCCACAAAATGTTTGGCAACATGTTTAGCATCACCTGCTTTCGTCACAAACCTTTAAAATTAATTTGAAAGTTAAAAAAATTCCAAAAATTTTAAAAAACCATTCACGAGCAGATTCAGCATTTGTAATTGTCTCCTGTGTTGTAAACGTTTTTGAAGCAATGATGAAAAGAACGGTCGCTGGATTGACTTTTTTGAGAACCTAAAAAATATTCTTAATCTTAAAAATTAATTTAAACCTCAGCCAAATGGGTTCCATCAATATTGGAGACAAAATGCACATTTGGGCCTTTTTGATAAAATTTGAGAGCTTCAGTGACCATTAAAGGGCCCTAAAAAATATGATAAAATGGTTTGGGTTACAAGACAAAAAAGTATTAAGTGGGGGTAGGATAATCGATAAGTCCTTAATGGGGACCCGTCTTCCGCTGAATCTAGTCTTTCTGGGCTCTTCCCTTATGACTTTGAACGTCAAATAAAATGAGTAAATGTGTGTTGATAACGAGAGAATTATCAACCAAAAAACGCACGTCAATCAGCAAAACAGCTAAACGTGGAGACTTTAGTTATAACAGCTCTGGGGTTTAGGTTCATTTCCTACTACGTGGCTCGAAGTGTATTTTTTCTTTCTCCCTATTCTCTGGATATTTTGGAGTTTAAAATACATTTTGATTTAAAAAATATACCAAATCAGAGCCACCAATTCCAATATTAACAACATCCGTAATTTTTTCACCAGTATAACCAGTCCATTGGCCACTAATTATTTGATCACAAAATTCTTTCATATGTTTAAGAACAGTATTAACATCAGGCATTACCTTTAAAAATTAAAAAATTATCTTTCAGATTATCTAAAATGGACATTTGTAAAGATTGAGGTGCTCGTGGAAAAGTTTAGTCAGGGACTTGTCCAGGCCCGTAGCCAGGATTTTTTCGGGGGGAGGGGGGGGGGCCAAGGGGGGAATTCCCCCTTGGCTACGGGCCTGGACTTGTCCAAAGTTGGCCGATTTACATGACTTTGGACCGATTTATATGACTGTGTGAGGGAAATGACTGTGAACCGAGACAAAGGTTAACGAAACTTGAAAAATCATAGGGGCCAGCTAATTTTCGGGTCAAAAACTATCATCGGATTATTTTTTGCGGACATTTATTCCTATTTTCCTGGGTCCAAAATGGACAAAATCGCCATTAATATTTATTTAGAATGGAATCCCCAGAACTATCTAAAAAATTTTGTATATTAAGTTCGCATTTGGAACTCCAAAAAGAATCAAAAAAAAAATGCGAAGAATAATCCTTTACAAATACCCTTAAATAAATAAAATCTTTTTACATCTTTTCCATCAACCAAAATCGGTTTATTTTCTCTATTTCGCAATGCAACGTGCAAAACAGAACGGCCTTCTGTAAAATTTATATGTTCACCAGAAAACATTTTGTCACGCCATTGTTCTACATTAGCTTGACGAGCCTAAAAATAAGATTTAAAAATAATGTGAAACAAAAACGTTTTCTTTTTTTAGTTCCCGAAAGTCCACAAGTCCTTTCGTTATAGATTATCCTTGATAAAATCGTGTACATTGGACGAGGGCTAGGCGAACTGACATGAGAGATCCTGGGAAGTCTTTTTCCGGGATCAAACTCTAGTATAAAAGCTCCCGTTTGCAAAAAACGGATTCGAGAAACCATAAACCGCAATCCTAGCCCGTTGAACAACTAAACTTAACGAAAAGCCAAAATCGTAAGTTCGCGATCCGTTTCTAGAACCGGGAAAAAACTCAGACCTTATATATAATTAAAAAATATACCCACAATATCAATAAGTTGTTTAAACTTCGAATCATCAATTATATTTTTTGAAAAATCCAAATAAAGTTGAAGACCTCCATTTGAATTCAACAATTTTAAAGTAAACTTTTCTGCACGTTTTGGATCAGAATTGAATTCTTCCATCATATTTACTTCTCTAGATTGATCAGCCAAAGTTCTAAATGCTGCATTTTCTGCTAGACCAGTAATTGTTGAAAACATTTTTATTTAATCTTTTTTAAATCTGAAAATTAAAAATAATCGAAATGAATTCAAAAACATAAAAAAAAGTAAAGAAACGTGTCAATCAACAAAACGTTCCGATATGACGTGGCGTATTGGTACTTATTTGGCCGCCCACCCAGTAAATCTTCCTTTCTTAAAATGTACAAATGGTCTAGCTTGACACGTGAACAAGAATGGACAAGGAAAATGGACTGGAATGAAGAAGAGGAGAGAAGTCTGTCAATTATGTACAAAATTAAGGGAGACTTATTGGGAGGGGAAAAATAAGTACTCGTGTTTTTACTCCTTTTAAGTTATGCGTTCGGCGTGTTTTCCCTTTTTGGCACCCCAAAACGCTAAAAGTAACTTTTTTGTTGATCGGAAGCAAAAAATTTAAAAAAATTTGAAAAAAAATTTATTTTTCGCCTGCAGCACTGAAAAATTGAAGTTTTTGTACTCTTATTTGTTGACACTATGACATTCCCATAATAAAGTTTACAAAACGAAAAGTTTCCACATTATTAATTACAATTATTTTAGCCATTAGAGTGCCAAAATTAGAGTGCGGCCAGCTTTAATCGGCCTTAACTTTTTGTAAAATTGATCTATTTTGAATAAATTTTATATCATTCGAAAGCCCTCGATAAGCGCTATCTTTTTTTCAATTGGATGGACCAAGCCTGATCACTCATCAAAAAGTTACAACCCGATAAGTGCAATTATTTGGTGTTTTTTACATTTATCGGGTTATAACTTTTTATTTACTGAACGGACTTGATCCATCTAGTTGGAAAAAAGATACAACTTATCGAGAGCTTTCGAATGATATAAGTCTTATTTATATTGGATCAAAGATAAGAAGAGTTACAGTCTATCAATACATTCCGACACTCTAATTTTGGCACTCTAATGGCTTACTCTTAATTGTAAATTATATTTCCCTTTGTCTTTTACTATAAAAGGACTTGCTTTTCATAATTTTACCATTTTATAAAAATGTCAATTTTACTCATAATTTTTTGGGAACTTTTAAAACGGGTATCCTTTGGCATTGTGCTCATATTATACTCCTTTTACCGTACCCTTCTTTCTATTCCGATATTTTCGGGCAGTTTGTTTTGTCTTTAATATCAAATTTAGAGATAAAATGATGATTTATATTCAACGTTTAATTTTGACTGTTGACACCCGAGCGGGTAAAGGACTTTGCAGAGTTGCTATAAATGGGCTTGATGATGGTGGGAGGCCAATAACTGAGGGACAGATTGGCAGTCAACATAAAGCTTTGGGCACATTGGTTTGGATTCTAATGGAGTGGAAGTCTAATGTGTACTCTTCTGAGCTTCAAAAGCTTACACGGTTAACCGTTTTTTGGGTACTACTTTGGGGTGGCCTTTCCGCTGTTCCTTTACTTTAATTGTTTTTAAGTTCTGGTAGTAACATTGGGTTTTTATTACCAGTTCAGGGTACCTGGGTATATGTTTTTTGTTTCCGAGGCTATACCATTCGAAAGATTCTTGAAAAACTAGCAGGGGATCTCGGCCTACAATCAGGGGCCGAGTTACTGACTCTTGAATATCTAAAAACTTTAGGGGGACCAGGCGATTTGCTGAGGGCTCTCGCCATTTCTCTTATGTTTATTGCTAGTTACTCCTTAAAATATTTACCTAAAAGGTTCTTTTTATCTGAAACGAGTTTAAAAATAGATATACAGTTTAAGGTTCCACAGGGAATTGCCTACTGTTTTACTTTCCGTATAAAATTTGATTTTTCAGAACCGCTATAAATCTCTTCTCCGATTTGCTGTTAGGCTCAATTCCGTTTATTCTACAAGCTCGTGTCAATTTGTCTTCACGAACAATTTCTCATAAATGGACTATTCTTTTGTGTGACTTTATTCAAATTATTCAGTGGCCACCTGCTGGACTTTCTGTTAACAAAGCTTCTCAATTTATGAACACTTTACTTGTTGGATTAATTAAGTTATTGGATGAATTGTTCAATGTTCACCGTGCCAGTTCTTTGCATTGGCTTTTTGTTCTAATTGATTGTGTTTTTGAGGTATTTTTATTTTTAATAAATTTTTTTGGGGATTATGAGATTTAATAGGGGCCCGTTTTCATTGCTTTATTTTCCTTATATTTTTTAGGCCTCATTTCATCAGGTCCGAGCCCTTTAAGCTGTAAACTTACTGTCCTCCAAAGTTTTAAAGTCAAGTCATTAATGTTGTAAAATCTTCCACAGTTTCTTTTCTACACATAATCAATTTCTTTTTAATTATTAGTGTGTTCTCCGTGGTTCAGTGGTACCGTTCTTGAATTTACTTTTTTTCCCCAGGTTCGAATCCTAATTAGGGGAATTAATTTATTTTAACATAATATTCGCTTTTGTTTTTGAAAATTTTGTTTTTAACATTTTTAAAAAATTTTCTAAATTTTTTCGGAATTTTTTTAAAGTTACTTGAAAAAGCTTACAAATGAATGTTTTGTAAAACACAAGAAATAAATAAGTCGAAGGCTTTAAAAGGGAATCGAACCTGGGGGAAAAAGTGAAAGGCAAGAACGTTACCACTGGACCACCGCCGAACACATTTGATACTGGATATAAATTGTTTATATGTGGGGGATCCTAAAACTTCGGAGGCTTATATGTATGTCGGTCCACAGCACCCGCAGCGAAAATAGTGCAAATTTCACAACTAAGGTAGGGTATAATCTGTCTACCAAATTTAATCCCGAAGTCCCACGGACACCCGACAGTCTCTCAATTGTTAGAGCTATTTTAAAATTATTATTTTTATTTTTCAAAATATTTTAGGATGAAATGGATTGGATGGATATGTCTTTTATTGATGGCAGTACAGGTCGTAATCTTCGCTTTTATGGGAATAATCTTAATAATGAGAATGGTCAAGACTTTAACAATGCCAACAATCCTCACAAAATTATGTTTGCAAGGTTTTTTCTTTTTTGTCCAATTTTTATTTTTTATTCTTTAAGTGTTGGATTATTTTCTGAATGGCTTAAAAATCTGTCAGGAAATATGTCTCCATCATTTTATGGAGATTCATTACGTATTGATGCTTGGTTGATGGATGAAAAGACAGACAGTATTTTTGTTGCGAATACTTCAGAAATTGGGGCAAAATCTTTGACAATTAATGTTTTGCTTCCACCTGTTATTTGCGGATTTTTGAAGGTTTTTGTAGAAGAAATTTATATTTTTTTATTAATTTTATTGTTAGTTGACTTACACTGTTCGCCAGTTATATGGAGCAAAGATGGTTGATTTTGAGGAGGATTTGGAGGAAAACAATGTGAGATTTTTTCTAGAACAGTAAATTATTTTTTATAATTTTGTCTAATTTTTAGATACTTTCTGAACTTATCTTTTTGATTGATTCGTCGAAAGTTGCTTATGTGTGTTCGACAAATGATACTAAAGTTATACTTCGTGGTGATGGAAGCCCAACTTTTGAACAAATTCGACGTCGTTCAATTCGTCAGCAATATAATTTTGTGAAGAATCTTGTTATTCTAATCCAGATGGACAATAAAGTTTTGGATGAAAAGAAGGAATTAAAACAACAATCTAGTTGGTATATGATCGGTTTGGAACAGTTGGCTGTAATGCCACATCGTTTAAATGCTTTATTGAATTTATTCTCAGCATTTACTGACGCACGTAAAATTATTGTGGTTAGTTTTTAGCATTCTTTTAACAAATCTTTTAGAATTTATAAGTACCACCACCCTCTGTTTAATTTTGTCGAACTCGATTTTGACGTTTTTAATTATGTAGTACCCAATCCAAAAAAAGTCTTGGTCCTAAGCCTGTTTTTTTAATTTATTCAATGTTTTTCTTTTAGCTTCCAACTACCAATCAACCCATGCCGAGTGTTTCTATTTCTCAAAATAGTTTGCTTTCATTGGACACTGCTGTTTTACATTTTGGCCTTTTTTGTATGGATCCTTTGCCAAGACTTAGAGCCGGATGTATTTCTTGGCTTTTTCATTATTGCGTTTATACGAATTGGTGGGGGAAATTCTTTGTTGAAGTGCTCAATCAACATTTTGCTTCAAAAATGTGCCAAAAGAATTTGGATAGGTATATATATATTCTTAATTTTTCAGTAATTCTTTAAATATTTTTAGTGCTTTTATTATTTTGTCGTGTTTGTGCAGCGAGACTGTTAAATATCCACGTCTTCAGGTTTTCTTTTTAAAATTTGTTTTACTCATTAATCTTTTATTATTAGACTAACATTATTGAACAATTGGTTCTCTCAGTTCTTACTCAATTGGATGTTTCTTCTGCGGATAATGGCATCAACATTACCACTTTAAGCTGGTTATTTTTGGGTGGAGATTTTGGACCAGTAAATGAGACAGCACCAATTGTTGATGAGGGTCAGAATCAATTATTTGACAATTTAATTGACACAACCCTTTCTGAAGCAACAACAATGACAGCTGCTAATTTTGCTCCTTGTGCTTTACATTATCAAAATGGTTTTTTTTTAATTTTTTTTTTGTTTAAATTTTTCTAAATTTAGTTAAAGTCACAGAATCTGCCTCAAATCTTTTATCTAAAATTTGTCAATTTGATCCTATTGCTCTTCAAATGTTCAATGCTTCTCGGTTGAATTTAGCGAATAACATCAATATTCAACCAATTGCTCTTTCTGTTGATTTGCAATATGATTTTTGTGTTTCTGAAAAGCAAGCAATTACAAATTGTAATGATTCTGTATTCTTGCAAGACACACTTATAAGGTTTTTTTGGAATTATATTTTGATATATTCAAAAATATTTTTTAGAAATTCTTTTCGTCGTCTTTTACTTCTTCGTTCTCTTTCACCAAGTAACTCTTCGAATGATGACAATATTCTAAACGAAGAAAAGAGAGATGAAGCTATAGGTCAATGTATGCAAACAATTATGGGTGCAATTGATCAACTTTTTGCTAATCTTCGTGCTGACAGCAAAAATAGTAATGTTAGACCAGCATTTGTTGAACGTCTTTTAGATTTTTATTGGCAGGTTATTTTTAAAAAATTAAAAATTTTTTAACTTTCGTTTTTTTTAAAGTATCAGTCAGATATTGATGCCTTTCTCAACTCTAAAAGCAATTTATCTATTGCTAAATCGCCTCTTTTTACTGTCCCAGCTTTGAGCGATAATGCTGCATGTTCTTTTATTTCATATGCTGCAGATAACCCTTTTATTTCTGAACTTGTTTGGACTCGAGTACTTACAACTTTGAATACTTCAATTCAAAAAATGGTTTTTTTTATTAAAAAATTTTTAAAATTTTTTTCCAGCCTTATTTAATTGAATCAATTGTCAATTGATTCACAATACCCCCGTTTTTAATCACGTAGTACCCAAACTAAAAGTTTTGGTCCTAATTTACCTGATAGAATATTGACTGTTTTTTTAATTTAATATTTATCTTTTAGCTTCTGCCTATCAATCAACCAATGCAAATTGTTTCAATTTATCAAACAAATTTACCTTCTTTGGACACTGCTGTTTTACACTTTGGTCTCTTTTGTATGGATTCTTTACCAAAATTTAGAGCCGAATGTATTTCTTGGCCTTTTCATTATGGTATTTATACGAATTGGTGGGGGAAATTTTTTGTGATTCTGAAAAACAAGCAATTACAAATTGTAACGTTTCTGTATTTTTACATTTTTTAATTTGCAAAAGTACTAGGAAAATACATTTTACTATCCATCCAGTAAGAATGCCTGGACAATTGAATGTTTATAGGCAGAAACTGTTTCAGAACTTAATTTTAATATTAAACTTTCTCCTTTATAAAATTAAATCATTATTTAAATAATCTGTTAGAATAAAAAATAAAGGGGAAAAATACTCATAAAATACAAATTAAAAAAAAAGATTATAAACACTCAATCAAAAGTTAATGTTACTTCACGATTACCTTCTGGTTAAATTACTCGTGCAGGACTTTGTTGTTCCTCTACAAGTAGTTTTGGTGTTCCAACTATTTTCTTTTTGTTGATATTCTCGTTGATTACACCAGTTGAAGGATTCGAATTTCTCTCATTTGTACTTGGTTCTGGCTCTACATTTATTGTTGTTGCTGTTGTGATTGGCTTTATTTATTATTTCTTCTTCAACCATAAATACTATCCAAATGGTTTTTTTGCGGCATTTTCTAGAAAGGTTTTTTATTTTTCATAATTTAGAATTATATTCTGAGTAAAATCGGGATATATCACTTTTTCCCCTTCTCAAAATTTCCTTATGGTTAGGACTGATTAGTTTTTGCTATATTAGGAATTACAGATTCATTACGGACCTCTTGATTTCGAACTCTCGTTCTTTCAATTGTAAACCATCCTTTTTTATATAAATAGTATACACCTCCAGCTGCTGCAATTGCCAAAACAAAATAAAAAATTGTTGCAGTAATGAATCCAACATCAAAAGTATTAAATACAAAACCTTCAACTTCAGAGAAGCATGAAAAGAATATTAGAAGGAAGAGAATCAACGTGGCAGATCCAACGTTGCATTTTGGAAAAAACTGAAAAAGTATATTAAAAAGATTTTTTTAAGTTTTTTCCAAAATGCAACGTTGGATCTGCCACGTTGATTCTCTTCCTTCTAATATTCTTTTCATGCTTCTCTGAAGTTGAAGGTTTTGTATTTAATACTTTTGATGTTGGATTCATTACTGCAACAATTTTTTATTTTGTTTTGGCAATTGCAGCAGCTGGAGGTGTATACTATTTATATAAAAAAGGATGGTTTACAATTGAAAGAACGAGAGTTCGAAATCAAGAGGTCCGTAATGAATCTGTAATTCCTAATATAGCAAAAACTAATCAGTCCTAACCATAAGGAAATTTTGAGAAGGGGAAAAAGTGATATATCCCGATTTTACTCAGAATATAATTCTAAATTATGAAAAATAAAAAACCTTTCTAGAAAATGCCGCAAAAAAACCATTTGGATAGTATTTATGGTTGAAGAAGAAATAATAAATAAAGCCAATCACAACAGCAACAACAATAAATGTAGAGCCAGAACCAAGTACAAATGAGAGAAATTCGAATCCTTCAACTGGTGTAATCAACGAGAAGAATATCATCAAAAAGAAAATAGTTGGAACACCAAAACTACTTGTAGAGGAACAACAAAGTCCTGCACGAGTAATTTAACCAGAAGGTAATCGTGAAGTAACATTAACTTTTGATTGAGTGTTTATAATCTTTTTTTTTAATTTGTATTTTATGAGTATTTTTCCCCTTTATTTTTTATTCTAACAGATTATTTAAATAATGATTTAATTTTATAAAGGAGAAAGTTGATAATATTGTTTAAAATTAAGTTCTAAAACAGTTACTGCCTATAAATTTTCAATTGTTTAGGCATTCTTTCTGGATGGATTGTAAAATGTATTTTTCTAGTACTTTTCCCAATTAAGCAAATAATACTTAAAGCTTTAATTTTCAATAAATTTCTAATTTAATTAAAAATTTAATTGTTCATTTTCCTTCATAAAATAAACAAATATTTAATAAGATAATTAAAAAGAAAGAACTGGGATTAAATATATTAGGTACATAATTAAAAAATATTTTTTCTGAAAGACTGAAAAAACAATAATATCTCATCGTTGTAGATATATTCACTTGCCAACAAAATCATCAAATAAAAATACAAATAGGGAAATATTTTTGTAATTGCAAGATATCTAAAATATTTTTAAAAATTTAAATTGTTTGTAAGTCCGCATAAATTTTTGCGGATTTTGTATGCAACATAGCACATTTTGTGTTTAAAAGAAGTCCGCAAATACTTTAATTCATACTTTAATTATGTCAGCAAAAAAGTGCGCAATAAATGTCCGCAAAAATATGTTAGAAAAAAAGTCAGCAAAGGATATCCGCAAAAAGGTCCTTAAAAAGGCTCTCAAAAATAGCAAAAATTTACATAGAAATGTCCTCTAAAAGTCCGCAAAAAATTCCACATATATGAAAAAAGTCCGAAAAAGTATCGTCAAGTTAATTTTGAAAAATTTGTCCGCATAACACCTCAAAAATCCGCAAAAATCACAAAAAAGCCCCTCTATTTGCGTCCAAATTATTTTTAGTTTGAAAACTTACACATTTATTTTATATATTTTTTCAAAACAACACCAAAAAATATTTTCTCATTCTCTTATTTTTTAAAAAGTCCATAATCAGATGAAGAACAACCACAATTATTAAAAAGACCACCACCTCCACTAGAACCACCACCCTTTAAAAATTATTTTTTAAATAATTAAATGATCTACTATCTGAATGATTTGCTGTTGAACCACAGACTCAGTTAAAAATGGTCGCCTATAATGAGGTGTATCTTAAATAGGGGGGGGGGGTCCCCATCCATTACCTTACTATATGAACGGCCTACAGTTGAATAGATAGATACACCCTTGGACCCATTGGGTCAAGTCCCTTATAATGAGGTGTCTATTAAATAGAGGTTATCCTTAGGCGACTTCCCCTGTCCAGTGCTCTACTATCAGAATGGTCTAGTCGTGCTTTACTTAAAAATACACTCTTACCAAGCTCTTATAACAACCTCGTCTCTTATAATGAAACATATCTTAAATAGAGGGTATGCGCTTAAGCAGCCAATGGCCTCTAGTGGCTTTACTAGCTGGATGGTTTAAAGTTGATCTCATTTAAAGATACCCCATTGGAGCAAGTCCCTTATAAAGAGGCGTGTCTTAAATAGAGGGTCTTAAATAGAGGGTATTTATGAGTAAGTTTTGACTGTGTTACCTAATATTTCTTCAAATTTATACCTTAATTTGCCCAAAGCCACCACCAATTTGTAAACCAACATCTCCACCAAATAAACCACCACCAACATTAAAAGGTGAAGAGGAGGCAGAAGAACAAGATAAACCAGCACCTATACCTCCTACACCGCGAGTTGACCTTTATTTAATTATTAGGAGAATTTAAGGAAAATTATTTTTTTTAATTTTGAGTAAAAACTTATATTCTTCCGTTTCTGTTTCTACAGAGTTACGTCATTTTTTGACTCTTCCGCCTTCCGAAAAAGGTCTGTAACATCCTTGGTTCATCTATATTTCTAGTATGATAGTCAAACCCGGAGTTTTTTTCCGGATTCGATATTGGGGCTGGACCGGAACTGGTGGCCAAAATCCAGTAATTAACTAGCAATAGTTAATATTTCCGTTCTAGACTCGGAAAGATTGAAGGGGGTACTTTTGGCGACTGTTGATCTATTAATCAACTCCAATCTATGTTAATCCCTTCTTGGTTATTTTTAATCTTTCGATATCCCTCTATTAGATTGTCACTTCCGATATTTTGTCATTTCCGTTTTCCGGTACCTTCGATATTTCCGACCGACTCCCCTATATGAGATGGCTTTTTTTGCCTAAGCATTTTTTCGAGAGGATAGATGAGGAATTATTTTTTTAATTTCAAATATTTACCAATTTCCAGACCCATTACTAGCAATAGTTAACCCAGAAATAAGTCCTCCACTAATTGAACAGGAACCATTTGAATTATTATTATTGCCTCCATTGTTACTGTTTAGAGTGTTTGAATCTATTGATGAACCAGACGTTGACTTGAAAAAAATTTTTATTTGATTTTAAAAATTTGAATTTTTCTGTAAATTTGACCTCTTTATAAGATTCCCCCTTGGATTTAAGAATTGTACCTTATATCAAGGTGTATATTAAATAGAGGGTACCTTATATCGAGGTGTATATTAAATAGAGGGTATTGCTTGGAAATCTCCCTCACTTAAATTTAAAAATCGTCTTAAATTCGTGGATATTATATACAGACGGATCTCACTATAAAATACATCCAATACAAGATACACTTCAATATAAGCAACGGGTTTTTAAATGTGATTGGCCATTAGGTTCGAGAGCCGTTAGTGATAAACTCTATTTAATAAACATTTTATTATAAGATATTCCGTATTTAAGATATCCCCATTATAAGATACCTTCTATTTAATGAACACTTCATTATAAAATACTCCCTATTTAAAATACATCTCGTTATAAGATACCCTCTATTTAAGCTACCCCTCGTGATAAGATACGATCTTTCCAGCACCTGTGGGTGTCTTATAATGGAGTCTCTTATAATGAGGTCCTTTTAAATTAAAAAAATCTAAAATTTTTCATCATTACTTGTTGTAAATCGGTAAGTGCCAATCCAGTACGTGGTGATTGTGGAGGGCCAGAAATAACCATAATTTTTATTTTTTTATTAATTTAAGTAATCTTTCTCTATAAAATAAATTTTTTTTATTTTTTGCGAAGACTTTTATTTAATTAATTAAATTCGGACGTTCTCTTTTTTTCTTTTGTCTTACATAAATGTTCGCTTTTTTCAGCCGCTATTTTTATTGTTTCCCTTTTTTGTTGTAAAATTCGCAAAACGCACGTTTATTCTCTCATTTACCGCAGCCAAGCCAAAATATAAAAAATTAAACTTGCTGCAAGAATATATGAAAGACGACATTTGCGCAAATACGACATTTGCGGACACGAAATTTAAAAAAAACAAAAAAAATTTTCTGAAGAAGTAAAAGTTTATTTTTGATATTCCAATACCTAAAAATAGAACCTCGATTTTATAGACACCATTGGAACTGAAAGGATCGTGCCTTATAAAGAGGGTAACCCCGTAATCTCACTTAGCTAACATCCTGACAAAATTGTACTTTATAATAAACTGTATCTTAAATGGAGAGTATCCTTAAATAACTTCCCACTGTCAAGTGAGCATGCTTTCAGAATGTTCTTGCAGTCGAACATCATTATAGGATACCTTGGCAGGATCGTTTCTTATAATGAGATGTTCCTTAAATAGAGGGTGGCCAACATAATTTAGGCCAAAAAACCCATTCGGCCAAGAAATTTTAGAAAGCTTGTCTTAAATCGAGGCGTGTCTAATATTAGGTGTACCTTATATCGAGGTCTGACAGTAATTTAAAAACAAAGTTTACAAATGTCGGTGTTCGCAAATGTCGTATACCCTTAAAAATATTTTTTGAGGAACGGAGAAATGGCCGACAATAGTGAGAAAAGCAGTTTTGAATTTTTTTGTGTTTAAAAACAAATCAAAAACCTTTTTTAAAAAATTATGATGAGAAAACGAGAATAATTGTTTGAAAGTATTGCGCAAGAAATTAATTATTAATTTATGGCAATAAAATGAAGAGAAGGAGAGAAAAAATAAAAACAATGAATGAGACAACAATGAAAAAAGTTTTAGGGGAAGAAATAATAATAATTAATTGGGAAAATAATATTTTGAATTAGAAAGGCTGATAATTTAAATTTCAAAAAGCCTCAGAACGTATAGGAGTAAGATTTAATTAAAATCTTACTCCTTATTAGAGAGAGAGAGGGAGTGAGGGGGAGAGGGAGGGAGGGGGAGAGGGAGGGAGAGGGAGGGAGAGAGAGAGAGAGGGAGGGAGTGGGGGGGGGGGGGAGAGGGAGGGAGGTGAGAGGGAGGGAGGGAGGTGAAAGGGAGGAGGAGAGAGAGAG